CAATCCATTTTGTGGTGAACTGCTTCCCGAGCTACTTGGCGAGTGACGAACAAGTTGTCTGAGGAATGTTATGGGTTGGAAGAAAGGGTAAAGGGTGAGGATTGGGTACGGAAGACAAAGAGTTTATCAAAGGGTGAGATATCTGCACATACACCTATCAACCTCAAAAGCTCTGAATGAAACGGATGCCTGCAGTACAATGTCAACGATAGTGGCAAATTAGCCTTCGATACGGAACTGTGATCGTCTTTCAGCTCAACCATTAACCAAAGGACTTAGTGAACACTAGACATGAACCAAAGAAGCTATTCAAATGTCAATCAGAAAATGCCGGAGTCAGGCTCACGGTCACGACACAAATAATGGATGTCCTCGACTTTGGCTGTCTTGCCGGAGTCCCGTAGACCATTCCTTCTGAAACCAAATACGAAAGTGCGCAAATCCTTTAAACAGCAGCTCATCAAGAGTCGGAGGAATGACAACGAGCAGTGGTGGGTAGCAAAATGTAGATATGAAGAAGGCTGCGGCCATCAGAATTAGTTGCATTGTTCGTTTAATCAGGAGTACGGGCTCAAGAAGGGTATGCCTAATTGGGATTAACTAAGGAATCTGACGGTACACTGATTCATATTGAGAATCGCCGTCTTGATCGATGAACTGGACATTTGGAGGCTCAGTTCAACTGGCCCCCACCAATGAGACTTACCTCACTTCAGTCGGGCAAATAATACCATTAGATATCAGTGCTCTATCTGAACTTGAGGTTACTCGGGAAGTAAATTATCTCAAAAGGTATAAGTCATCATACCGGGAGGGGTATCCTTATCGGTTTTTAAGAATGGAGGTTCAACGTTGATCTTTGATTTGACGAAACTCTTGGAATCGGTAGGTATTTTTGTGGATGGGGGCAAATTCCAACTAAGTCGTGTGAGTCGCTCATCTTAGCGATTGACAAGAAATGTGACTAACCCTCTTGTGAAAACCATAGGAATTAATTTGATCAAGTTTAAACAGGCATGTTGCCAACTCAAAAGCAAGAATAACAGAGAAGGAAGGTGATCGGGATACGACGCAGTGGTATAGGTGGTATAGGTTATGGTGGTTAGGAGGAATGTTTTTTATTTGTTTCATCTTGCACCTTTTGAAAGTGAAACTAAAATTAGCGGTATGTAGGAATAAACTGTACAGTTATCAAAATAGAAAAGCATTGGTTGTTTCTACAGGAGTATGCTTTTATTAAATGTTTAAATCCTAATCAATCTCACGCACACGCAGGATTCCCTGGTTAGGCTCTGAAGGACTCCTGCCTTTTCCGATGAATGATGATTTGGACTCTTCCCTCTGCGAGTAAAACGGCCATTAGTTCCTTGGATCTTTAAATCATCCTGCGTGGATCATCTCTCACAACCAAGCAGAATTCAAATGCGTCATAATTGATGCAAGCTTCTGGTTGGAATTTTGGCGTATAGTTAGAGTGCGTTTTGGAGCTCAACTATCTTGAGGCAATATAATACCATGGCGTCTTTGAAAATAGGCAAACCAGCGACTACTCATGCAACTATATTGGACTCTGTTTCACGAGTCACCTTCATTGCCTTTTTCGTAGCGATATTCTTGTTATCGGCATATGGTTTCAGCTAGCAGTTAAAGCAGTTAAAATCAGTAGCACACAACATTGTTGAACCAATCGTTAGGTCAATTTAACTTTCGGTGACTTCAAGTTCCTCGTCCCTACATCGTATTAATGCATTCATAAAAATCTGCATTATCTCTGCACCAGCTTCGGATTTCATCTTCGTAAAGGAATTCTAATTAATGCACAAACAAATAACCTTTGCCCTGTCCCTGGGTCTAAACACTACCGCTTTTATGAATCATCCCATCCCAATAACACGCAATTGTTTTACTAATGTTACCCGACTGAGGAGTGTATCTTTAATGAATAGCTGCTGGTACATCTCACGATAAAAGGTGTATAGATTTTGTTTATGATATCAAAGATACCTAAGAATTGTGCTTCTGTTTCTTATTCAATCGCAATGTGTAACTTTGTCACTTCGGATCTGCCTGTTATAATAGTCACATAAAATTTTATTACAAGGGTGGTTTCAATTTAAGCACGTGTTATTTGCTTACTGTCACTTGTAATTGCACTATTGGTGTAAAAGAAGGTATCTCGCTTGGCGCATGCAACTGCTGATACAAGAAATGATATTTGTGACCTGACGGTAACTAAGCAACTATATTCGAAAGTAATTTCTTTTAACCGGGTTTCTTTTTAATTTAGTATTC